TTTCTTTAATTGTGATTCATACTGTTTCACTATAGTCTTACATAAAACGCACCTTACAAATAAGATCAAACTTCTTATGTTATGAACTACCGCTGACGTATTGCGCAGAAGGATTAGCGTCCTCTTTCGGTGGGTGGGTGGGTGGGTGAGATGTTTTAGAAACTACAAGCTACATCATGGCGTGCGTGCCTTCGTCACTCTCATCGTTCGGTTCAAAACTGTTTTTGACGCAGAACAGGTAACTTTCTGGAGGGTTTTTTATTTAGCCACTGTTGTTACTTGTATATATATTTAAATCGAAGAATAACACATTAAATTGGAACCAGATTTTACCCTTCGAACAGAGTTCGTAAAATAGGATCTTCCATACTGACAGTATCTTCTTAATTTCTTGAATGATTACAGGCATGCATGGCAGCTAACTTAGTCATCTCCGCATTGCGGTTCAAGCGATCCCTTGAATTCGAGACCTTAGCACCACAAGTGTTTTACCTCGACGAGAAAACGAGAAATTCGCCATACTTCCAGAATTTAATCCGGTTCGTAATTAACCTCGTTGTTTTACATTGTGTACATCTTGAAGTTCATTAAGATGGACTCCTGAAAACGTCGCCTGCTATGTTGCCTACCTCTTCAAGGCATACCCTCTAGACATGTCACAGTTTCCGTTCTTGTTCAGCACCACCCGCATTCCCGCGTTGTTCAAGGACCAACTGGTTATCAATCGTTCTTCCCGTCACGTGGCCGTAATTAGAAATGGGAACTTCTTCAGCGTGGAAGTGCTCGACAAAGATGGTAAGTAAATACTTGAGTAGGCATAATTATAGTTGTGAGTGTTCACTCTTCTCATGGTATCGTCTACTGACGATAAACTAGTTAGAAACCAATATAGCTACATGAGGTAGCTGACAGAAATTTACGTGTTGGCAAACAACACAGTGAGTTTTCTTAAATAGTCGGTAATTTTTTGGTCAGTCACAAGCGACCTTATGGACACCAGATAATATGAAGTCTTCGATGAACAGCAGCCTCAACAAGTAAGCATTTTCAAGCATTTCATAAAAATACTAAAAATCTATGTTCATCTGAACATGTCTTCTTACTTAGAAACCAGGGCTATACCTTTTAGTCATCTGTTAGGTGGATCAAGGGAAACTCGCATCAGGCAGTATGATTGTACACCTCAGTCATTCCGGCATGATCAGACCAGAATATTCTGCTATTCCTGTTATTCTCAAGTGACTTAGTACCCATTTCTCCCCTTGTTGCACTGAAGCAGTGTAGGGCAAATTCCTTGCTGAAGGGAATTCGCGATTAATACAAAGATTTTCCCTTCTCCAGATTCGAACCCGGTTTCTCAAGAGTTCGAAACCGATCTCTTTGCCCCTATGCCGATACGCCCAAAAAATATGCTAGAGAATTTGTCAAAAAATGTTTTGAACGCATGGTTATCTAACAGTCTGAACAATGAAACTGTGGAAAATATTTTATTCATTTTGATATTAAACTATATTTTTAAAGTCAAAAATCACTGTAAACTTAGCATAACTGCTTTGGCACAAATTCTTCATTATTCGTTTCTTTTCAGATTAAAACTTATACGTCTATAGGCTTTTTACATCCTCCGGATTTGATATATATCTGTTTTTTGAATATCGTGCAACAGCCGTTGCAGCCGGCGGCATTTCCTTTGGGAATTTTAACGACGTTGGATCGTGAGCAGTGGTCTTTGGCTAGAAGTCAGTTATTGGCGATCGAGGACAACCAGTCGATTTTGAAAGAACTGGACGGCGCGTTATTTGTTGTTAACTTAGACAGCGATAGTTCTAGGGATGCCACTGCAATAGGCAAGAATTTTCTTCATGGCGACGGCTGCAACAGGTACTCTAAGCATGGTTCTGGCTTTAGATTAATTGATTGTCGATTTTACCTGTTACTTATTAATCAGAAATTGGGTAGATACTTGCTTTGTATCCTACCGTATGATGTTAACATTATTCATATATCTATATAATGATGGAAAAATACCCATCATCAAGTCTTATAAAAGCGAACCCCAAAAAATTTACCGTAGGAACCACAGCATGTTATACTTTGACCGCAAATTCAGCTTGCAACGTCGATGAATAATATGGAGATGGGCACAGATCTGTTTAAACTGAAATTGTGCCATCTGTCATGAGACAGCCGGAGTTTTACTGCAAGTGTTGAATAGCGAGGAAATCAGTGGATGTGACAGTCCTAAGACTTTATGCCACTACGTATGATGTACTACTACTTAGGGTCTCAATCAGGTAATGATGGACTGAAAATGATGTAAGATGGACAACACAAAAATTGGCGGAAATTATTCATGCCACAGATGTAAACACAGTTCTCGAATTCGAGCATCATGCGGTGACCTCATCGAATTCAAGTGACTTTATAGGGTTTCACCCTGATGATGGTCATAAGGTCACTTTTACTGTTGTACGGATATTGGCTATTATTTGTTAGTGTGGATGTTTCACAGATCTTAGTAGAGACAACGAAAGAACAGGCAAGTAGAATGCATTTGAGGAAATTGACATATTTCGTAGTGAATACAGCTGGTATATTACTGACTGAATGACACGAAGACGATTAAGTGGTTTCCCCATCTCTTACTCTGGTCTACCTATATCGTTGTCTGGCTGTGTGAAAATGGAAATAAGATAGTATGCTTGAGAAGCAATCAAATAATAGCAGCTAAAGGGGTTGCGGTACGTGGGAAACGAAGACCTATGACATCATTAAATGGAGCAGATATCGAAACGATCTCTCACAAATACCAAAGATGGCAGTAAAATCTGATGATAATTATGAGGAGGATAATCTTGACCATGTCGTTTATTAGCGGACTAACCAATTGACTCTCATTTAGAAAGCGCATTAAAACAAGTTATTTTAAACTTAAAATGTCAGTTAGGCCCTGAAATTTATCATTTAATTACTGCAGTCTGCCTTCATTGTCATTTAGATGGTTTGATAAGTCGATTCAACTCATCGTTGAGCCAAACGGTCTGTCTGGAATCAACTTCGAACATTCATGGGGGGACGGAATGGCGGTTCTGCGCCTGTTGGAAGAAGTCAGCTTGGACTGTCGTCGAAAAAAATGGGCGGAACCCCAGAATACAGCACTTCTCAAAAAAGTCGATGTCTCGCAATGCGTCAGGAAATTAGGTACCGTCGATCTCATGACAAAGCGGATTGTTTTTAATGTTTAAACTTAGAATTTAAACTAAGCAGAGGATTGGAAGAATTGATAAGAAAATCTAGAGAGTCGTTTAAGAAGTTGACAGAGCGTCTTCAGTTAAAGGTGCTCTCTTACGATGGTATAAGCCGACGGTTTCTGCAGAGCAAAGGCATTAGTCCTGACTCATTAGTTCAGTTGGCGATTCAGGTAAATTGACCATCTGTCTCTTATATTACTGTCACAGAATGTATGTTAAAACAAGCCTTAAGAAAGAGCTTTACGTGGGAACGTTACTATTGCTGCCTTCTACAACTCAGGCTCTAACAGAATTTGAATAGCATCTGTTCAAAATGTTAATAGCTGACCCGTTAGAAACGAGACCTCAACTTTATGCTAGCTATTGCAAACCGTGTTCATGATCAGTGCCTTTTTGTCATATAACGGAACGGCGTTCCTGGACTTTTTTTCGACGGATTTTCCAAGTTTTAAAAGTAACTTTAGAAAATTTTATGTTTGTTCCACATGGACTTGAATCACCCTGTCGAGCGTAGCAGGTCGGCGGAGAAATCGTTAAAACGGGGCATGCAGGCTTGTTAACTAACATTAACAAGATGTGAGTTCCGGCACCTTTTTCTTACAAAAAACACTGTTTATAGTGTTTGTATTTTTCATGGCAACCACATTTGCCTCTGTGAGGTACATAAATGCTAGTAAGTGTAATCGACAAGTACAGGGGCAGAGTTTCCAGTAGTTTATTTCTCTTTCAAGTTTTGTTTTCTAACTTTTTAGTACTACACTGTAGAGCAAGCAGTGGAAAAAAATACAAAATGTGGACCACCCCCCTTGCAGTGGACGTCTGTTTGTGACGAAAAATGTATTGATTGTAGCAATTAATGATTCACTAATATTATTCTGAAACAAGTGCTTTTTTCGTTATTAAAAAAAAACTTTTCTAGTTGCTCCATTTGAAGTTGGTCAGGTATAACCTATCTGATTTTCTCTAGAGTTCAAGCTTTGTTAGCAATAGACGACGCTAACCGTTTTAACGGAATTGAACTGGATCAGCAGGCTTTCCGTTGTATGAATAATTTACTCCTCATCTTTTTGTTTAAAGAAGATTTTGGTGTGATTCAGAGTGCTAGAACACGAATAAATGACTAAAACATACTATCTTTATTTCGTCTAGAATAAAATGCTAAATTTTTAACTTTCTGGTAAATTTATAGATTGCGTTTTACCGCATTCATCATGAGCCAGCTGCCACTTATGAGTCATGTTCTACCGCTGCCTTTAAACATGGACGTACTGAAACAGTGCGCCCGGCTACAATGGCTACAAAGCGTTTCGTCCACGCATTGATCAACGACAGACTATCAAATGCCGATCTTTTACCATTGTTGCTCGACTGCTCAAAGGAACATTCATCGCTTGTGAAGCAGGCTGTAACTGGTGCGTTTACCTTTGACCTTCCGTTCGATCATTATCTTAATTAATTTGACCTTAAGGTAATGGATTTGACCGCCACATGTTCGCCTTGAAGGCCCTTGCAGAACGTCAGGGCAACCGTATCCCTGCGGTATTCATGGATGAGACGTACTCGACTGCCAACCATTTCCGGGTCTCAACTTCGTCTTTGTCCTCGGAAAACTTGTTTTTGGGCGGATTCGGACCTGTTGTAGTCGATGGTTTTGGCATTGGCTACAATTTCAGGGACGAGCGCCTTGGATTCGTTGTTACTTGCTATTCTGACAAAAATAATGCTCAGGAATTTGTTAATACTTTACACACTTCTCTGGATGACTTAAATAACATTTTAAATTCTATTAAATCATAGGTTTTCACTACTGATTTGAAAATTTGCATGTATTACTTTTTTGTATTGGGACACGTAACTTTTGCTGGAAGCTCAAATTTAAAAAAGAATAAAATTTTTCTCTGGCGACATTCGTGAACTGGATCTACCGTATTATGCGGCCTTTTTATAGTTGAAATTAAAAAAATATTTTTAATCCTTTTACTTTGACTATCCCATTTTTCAAGACTTGGAATGGATGACCAGAAATGACTACAAGACAAGTCATTCGCTTTCTTTGTTCCAATCGAAGATATTTTTGCAAAAAAGTAGTCGATGAAGCGTCGAAGTTTAAAAAGTAGATTTTGTTTACTTTAATGCAGATCTGCCATTAATAAATATGAATGTGATTTATGTTAATGATTGCAGGTTTAGTGTTACATTGAAGTATTCACAGACCTACAGTAAAATGTCATATCTTTTCATGAAATTAGCATATATGCCGTCTTAGATCACTGAAATGATACTTTTGAGTACTTTAGATATTTTTGTCTAGAGAACAGCAAGATGATGCCCCTTTCTCAAACCAATAAGTTAGTGAAGCTAAATGGGGCACATAGCCAATTTGTACATGGTAGGTAACTAATTAAAAACTAGTATGGGTTCCTGAGACATACGACGATAACTCGTTGAGTACCAGGAAACCAAAACATGAAAAATGAATGTTATGAGGAGGAGCAAAAATGAAGCGTTGAAAAGTAATGGTGCGATGCCATCAGTACAGATACGAAATTACGGAAAATTCGTTGAACTACAAAAAAGGAACAAAGTGAAGATATGATCTCGCAAGTGAACTCCTGACGAAAGATGAGTTTGTGAAAAAGGGCCCGTGGTAGCTGTACAACAAACTTGGAGGAAAATAAAACAGAGATCCAGTTTGTGGTTTATTGTGCTTTCAAATTATATGATGGAACGCTTAAATTCCTCTCATTAAACGCTTTGGGGTTTGGGCTTAAAATTTATTTACCTAGAAGAAGTCCGTTTACTTAATTGATGCCTGACAGGAAATGGCTTCTCTTCCGGAGCAAATTTTGTGAGAAACAAGACACTGGTTTAAATAGATTTTGTGAATAAATTTGTGAATTGTGAATATTTGTGAATAATTTATTTAGATACTACTTTAAATAATTTGAAACATGTTGACGAGTGCTCGACTATTGCCCAACCTGGAGCAACGATCCTGCAAAGTAAGAGAGTTTGGTGCAGTCGACTTCGTTTGAATTACAAGCCTTATGCTACTATGAGATTTGAATTTGTGATGGAGACAGCAGAGGCAGGATTGCATGTACAGAGGTATATTTACTTCGAAATAAGGAATCAGAAAGGAAATAAACATAAACATAATGGCGTGGCAGCTGCATACTAGAACGCAGTCACGGCCCAGTATCTATGGCAAGATCGAGCAGCTCATGTACGTCACTTTTTGTCTATGCGCTTTACTGTAGGTTACTTCCGCTGTGATTGATTCCTTAATCATTCTTCTGTATTTAGCACC